TGAATGGACAGTTTAGAAACTTCTGGCTCCAAGGTGATTGCTTATTAAAAACTCAAGCTCTTTGTCTTGATTAGTTAACTAGGAAACAAATATATATACTTCCAATGACGTGTTTGACTTCTTTGCTCCCTTAGGCCATAAGCAAGGCTAAGTTGGGAACTTTATTTACTAGGAGCTAAAACCAAGATAAGACACTTGGCAAAATACATAATTTAAAACACACACACACACACACACACACACACACATTCATTAACTTTTATAATACAAGATTTAAGTGTCACTTTTTCTCCCCAAAACTATCTGAGGTTGACTGACTTGCTCACTCCTTTAGCAAAGGTATACTCTGCCTGCTAGGAGCTACGCAGGGGTGGAAGCCAAGGTCAGCTCCAGACGCCTACCCTCAAGGTGGACACCCCAGGCTGTGCAGGGACATGGCGTATACATTTGTAACATTTGTGCACCCGCGTGGGTCTTACCCTAAGTTTTCAGTGACATATTGCCTTTAGTTTTATTCTTTCTCACTCAGTTTGTCCTGGTCTTTTTTAAATGAAGAAAATGATAGTAAATAGTGAAACAGAAATATTAACAAATACACTAAGTAATAAAGGCAGAACTATTCAGATGGCTTCCCTTTGGTTGATTCCAGTGTCAGAGGGTTAAACGCCTATTTCAACACTTGGGGGAAATTACTACCTAGAGAAAAACATTTCCTCTGGAAATCCATGAAAAATTACGAAATAGAAAAACTATCACCAGATCGTCTCAGTAGATGGATTATTAAAAAAAAAAAAATCAGAGTTGATAGGACCTTCATCCTATTTTTTCAATTAGAAAGTTAGGTGTTTTTAAATAAAAATTTTTAATAAAACAGCTTAGATAAAAATGCTAAAGGGGCGCCTGGGTGGCTCAGTCGGTTGAGCGTCCGACTTCGGCTCGGGTCATGATCTCACGGTTCATGAGTTCAAGCCTCACGTCGGGCTCTGTGCTGAGAGCTCAGAGCCTGGAGCTTGCTTCGGATTCTGTGTCTTTTCTCTCTGCCCCTCCCCCATTCGTGCTCGCACACGCTCTCTCTATCTCAAAATAAATAAACGTTTAAAAAGTTTTTTTTAATACTAAATAAAAAAAAAATTTAGAACTCATAGAACCTTCATCATCTGGTCTGATTTCCGAGAAATTACTTGGAGGTTATATTTTCTAAATTCAAAGAATGAAGGAAAGGAAGCAGCCTCTTGAAAATGTTTTATACGTCTCTCAGCATCTGTGACATTTCACTCAGATTTGCACAGAGATTTGGGAAAAGAAGAACTTCTGAGGGGTAGCAACTTCATCATCTACTTTCCTCTCGGGCACTGCCTGCACTTGTAACTACATTACGCACTGATCCCAGACCTTCAGTTGGCTCCAAAGAATCCCTGTCCGCCCAACACAACAAAACCCACCTGAAAATGCACCTTACTACAATCAACAGAGACTGAAAAATACCAGCGGTGGAAATGCTACAGTCAACATAACACAGGATCCGAAGGTCGGCCAGCTTCAATCCAAATGTAAAAGCCCTGGGTACTAAACGGCACCACTTACTTAACACAACAAGCAGAGGAAAGCCATCCACCGGGAATCAGTTGGGGAACGCATGACATTTTGTTTCCTGCTGGTTGTAGATCATTGGTCAAAACTCTATGCGTGACAAGACTCCACATTAAAGGAGGGTAGTCTGTAGGGGAAAAGGACTTCTCTTTGGAACGTCACTCTAAGTAAAAAGAAAAACCTTTTGTTCCTTTTCTGCGAGGAAGACTGATGATTTAGAACAAAATGAGATACCAATTATCCACAACTAGTAACATCTTCAAAAGGTCAGATAATAAAGCAAATGGATGTTTAGCTCCAAACATGCCCATAAAAGAGGAAGTCAGTGAAAATATCCACGATTCTGAAATATGCTTCTTAACACACAGTGGTCAAGGTGAATACACTTAAAACGATCTTGGGAGTAACATACACCCAACATGGGGAGACTAACAATCATGCATGTTGTCAAAAGAATGTGAAAAACCCTGGTTTGGAAAGTAACTGCTACCATGGGACGTGGTTACTGTAGGTGCTACTTTTGGACCAGCAATGGGAATATTCATTTTAAGAAAAAGAAGGTCCAGTAAGAGAAGATATCACTAGCATTTTCTCTTATCACTCCTTTCTTTTTAAATCTTTAGTAAACATTGATTCTTTTTAATTAATGCAAATACACCTTAATCATTCTATTCTTTCAACGAAATACGATAACACAAATTACATAAAACATGTATTAAATTCTAATTATTGGAACCTACTTCCTTTATCTCAGTAAGACATATGAATCAAAGGTATTGGAAAGAGAACTGTGCAATCTTTGGCTAAAGTAACATAGGGACAGGCGCCTGGGTGGTTCAGTCAGGTAAGCATCTGACTCTGGATTTCGGCTCAGGTCATGATCTCACGATTTGTGAGATTGAGCCCCGAGTCGGGCTCTGTGCTGACATCACGGAGCCTCCTTGGGATTCTCTCTCTCCCTCTTTCTCTTTGCCCCTCCCCTGCTCATCAGCTCTTTCTCAAAATAAATAAATAAACTAAAAATAAAAGTAAATGTTTATTTATTTTTGAGACAGAGAGAGACAGAGTGTGAGCCAGGGAGGGGCAGAGAGAGGAGGAGACACAGAATCTGAAGC